TATAAATTTGTTATGTGGATAAAAAAAAGGGGCCAAATCACATAAATATTCATATTTTTAATAAAATGAAATAAAAAAACAATACAATTATCTTAGTACACAATCTCCCTCTCTCGATCCATCTTCTTCCCCTCTTTCTTCCTATTTATTCTAATTACAATTGAACCCAACATAATTTAGGTCTATTGAACCCAACTGTTGATTTTAACAAAACCCATTTAATAGGTTTCATCAAACCTAATAGATCTCATCAAATCAAGCTAACTTCTCATTCAGTTGGTAATAAATAATCTCAATCAAACCCTAATCAAATTCTAACGTAAATGCAATCAAATTCCAGCAAATTCTAGCAAATCAACTGTAAATTTGGAAAAAACCTACAAAGAACAAGTACAATAGGCAAATCAAGTACTAAGGATGGAAAGCCAAAGAAGAACTTACATTTACTAGGTTCCGTTAATTGCTTGTTGGGTTTCATCGAACCCAATTTACTAGGTTTGAGGAAACCCAGTAGTTGGGTTCCATCGAACCCCAACTAGGTTCAATTGGACCCATATTTGCTAAGTTCAGTGGAACCCAATTTGTTGGGTTCGAGGAACCTAGTAGATGGGTTCCCTTGAACCTAAAACTACTAGGTTCAAGGAACCTAGAACTATTGGGTTCATTGAACCCAGCAGGTGGGTTTGAAGGAACACAACAGTTGTTGGGTTCACATAGAGGAAGAAAGAAAGGAAGAAGATGGATCGAAAAAGGGGAAGAAGATGGATCAAGAAAGGGAGACTAGTGTATTAAGGTAATTTATAGTTTTTTTATTTTTTTTATTAAAAATATAAATGCTAATCTAATTTGGCATTTGATTTGGCATTTTTGTTTGTACACGTAATCAAATTATATGATGTGTTATTGCCGTGTTATAAAAAAATTAAAAGTTTTTCTCCCGTGCTCTGCTTAGGGTGCAAAGGCGGCGGGTTCCTTCCTAGGGTCTCTCTTCGACAGCAAAGCTCCTCATTTTCTACTTTCCTCTTACCCTTTCCTTCCCCTTCCCTTCCCCTTCTTGCTCTCTTCTCCACTTTTGTCGCCTGTCTTACTTTGGAAACTTCAACCCAAGGGATCACAAGGTAGCGACATATTTAGATCTACATTTGGGGGTGTTTTCTAACGGCTTTGACTGGCATAGTGAGGGAATTGATCCTACTGGTGGTTGGGTTTTCTCTTATGTATCGCATAGGAACCTCGCTTTGGTGCATCTCCTGGGATGGGATCTTGGTGGCAATCAAATTCAGCAAGGTTAGTTCATTCCAATTTTTGATCAGGCTGCCAAATCTAGAGGGAAAGGGATGTTGTGGGAGACGCCAGTTATGGTTGGCACGAGAAGCATGGTATTCAAGCTGGCAAAGGGGCTCTAGTTCTTTTAATGGGGTTTGACAGTATGGGTTTGCAGAGGCTTAGCAAAGTTGGAAACCTAATTGGGGGTTAAGCGGAGATTGGGATGCATGCGCTTGTATAGAGGATCGGCAAAAAGGAACAAGATACTATTGGTGTCATAACCCAATTTTAATTGGGGCTAAATGATAAAAGTAAAAGTCAGTGGACTATTTTTATAAAAGCATGAAACTGAAAGGGCTGAGGGGAAGAGATTGCAAAACTACGTCGTTTTGCTTGAAGGCTGAAAAAATAAAAAGGGGGGCTAGGGCTCAGATGAACCCTAGCCCCTCACTTTCACGATTCTT